GTTCGCAGCCCGATTCGTAACCACTACGCTACAAAAACAGATTAACATAAGGAAAATACCTATTCTCTACAGCACATGACATTAGAATGCCATCGGAGGTTTAAAACCAGGACAATACTGCTCTTTCCTTTTCTTTATAACTACAACCTAATAACTGAATTGGTCACAAGCATGATTGTTGTTGCAATGTGCTACTTACAATGAAAGATACCAAACAAGTGAGGGATCCCATCTGCCACCTCCAACCTTTCTGTTTACTTCAATAGGCATCAATGATAAATCAATCTTATGTACAGTTTCTTACAGCTAACCCTTTTACCTTTGGCAAGATTACTTACAACTCATACAACTTTTTAATATTGAGAACTATTTAAAATATTCTAAATGCATAAAAATAAAGATTTTGGCTTTTTTGATATATATTTATAATATTTATTCTGTTACTCAAAATGGAAGCTCAACTTTATCCCCCAGATTCTGCTGTGGGGCTGCTGATGTGCCCACCCAGAATCCTGGCAGTGTGGCCTGCCCTCTCCCACCCAGCCCGAGTACAAGCCACTCTGTTCCTGCTCTCTAAGACAGGCTAGTACTGAGGAGGCAGGTGAGTGGCCTGAGAAACAAAGGGAGATCGTTTTGCTTCCTGTTGTATTTTATATTCCAGTAAGTGTGCTTTGAATACACATTCCTGTTGCGATACTTCTGCCTCTCTGTTTCCAGAGACTTGTAAGGAGATGAAGGAAGACAGAGGGCAACATTTCTCATGACTTTAACCTAACTGCAAGGCAGCTCTTTTCCAGAAATGGGTTTCCCACTTCTTTCAAAAATGCCACCCCCCCTCACTGCACTCTGGGACTAGACTTGTTCCAGGGGACCTTTGGGATTACTGAAAAGTGTCTGGTCAGGAAGACAAAGTCCCCTTCGTGCCACTGACCTCCACCCCTGCCCAAGGATGCACAAGATACCTAAGCCTTAAAGTTCAATTTCAAAGGTCTTCTGTAAGTCACTGGAGAAAGGGTTGGTGGGAGACGGGTTAGTACGTTGCTTGGACTTGCTTTCTAATGCAGCCCACTGCACTTCGAAAGGATCCACAGGGCAGGTACCTGCAGGAACCTCTGTGTGCTTGTCTCCTGAGGCCAACCTGCCGTCGTCTACACCATTGAAAGCGGCAGAACCGTTGAGGTGCTGAGCAGGTGGCTTAAGGAAAGGACTGGCGGCAGCACTGCTCGTCTCATACTGAGGGAATGTCTGCTGCTTGACCAGGCTGGGTGACTGACGGGGGTGGACAGGCTGAGGATGGCCTGCTGTGCCGAACACGTTGGCTACCATCTGGGAGGGAGTGATGCCCACCACAGGCACCTTAGGGGCTGGGTAGGGCATCCCGTTGGTCAGAGGATAGGACTGGGCAGGGACAAAGGCTGGCTGCAGGGGTGGAACCACACCGACTGGCACCACGGGCTGAGAGGCGAGGAATGCGTTCCCTTGGAAAGGCGGTGCTGGCTGGGAGACGGCAGCAGGTGGAGGAGGCTGGAGAACGGGCTGCAGAGGAGCAGCTGCAGCCTGGGGCTGCTGAACCCGGACACTCTTGGACACCTCTTCTAACCAGCGGTCTGCCTCAGAGGGAGTGCGTCTGTGGCCAGCCTGGAAGAGACCTGGAGAGGCACCACCAGAAGACTGACCCCACTCCGTCCCTGGAACCAACAAGATGAACAGTGACAAAAGAGTCATTAGGAACTTTTCTTGTTTTATAACCTTGACTATTTGGATGCTGCTAGAACAGGTCTGCCAAATGGGACATTTTGTGCTTTTGGTAGGTGGGAGGAAAGTATTATAGCTGAAGAAACTTAGTGGGGAGACAAACAGAACCTGTCAGACACGCTGGCTCAGGAAGCCAGTTACGTTAAAGGGCTGTTTAGATGCTATATTTAATTGCACTGAACACGGGCAGCTAGCTGTCTGGCATCAGACGCTCTCGTCACTGACACGGCTCCTTGCCAGGCCAGAAGTCAGCGTGCACGAGCACTAAAGGGCCTACTCTGTCAGGGCAAAAAGTTAGGCCCATGCCTAACTCCCAGATATATACTGTCTTTCTAGTGAACTGCCTATATTGCTATTTCAAAACCTTAGGTTTATGGTGAATACATGTTCACGACAGGAAAACAAGAAAGCACACAAAAGCAAAAACAAAAGTGCCAGAGACTGGCTGTTTGTAGCCGGAGCACTGTAGGGTCCAGCCTTCCCACAGGGAGGTCCACAGATCAGCTAACCCCGAGGGACTCGGGGCAGGGCCAGGAAACCTAGTCTCTAAAAGCTCCACAGTCCGAGTTAAGAACCACCAATTGAAACCTTTTTTATTCCTCTCTTAAATGCAGTTTACTTCCAGGAGTGAACATACTTTTCCTGAAGAGATTTCTCCTCAGGACGATTTTAGAGCTAGGTCATGTATCTGACCCCAGAATCCTCACCACCATCTGTGGCCACCTTACCCGAACGTGTGGCTGCAATTTCCTTGTTAGCAGCATCAGGGGCCTGGGCCCAAGGGTTGGTTTCACGCACAGGCACTGCTACAGGTGCTAGAGCAGTATGGGCGGGCTTAGCAGTAAGCACATGGAAGGCAGAGTCAGTGCCATTAGCTACAATGGGAGCAGACAACATCAATGGAGTTAATGCATGCAGGCTGGGCAGTGACCCCGGGAGCTGGCTCAGTCAGGCCATGGGCAATACTGCTGGAACAGATACACATCTTCTGATGTTGTGTTGGGATAATCATGCTCTCTTGCAATGGATATGCAAACCTTTTGGCAAAAGTATTAGAGGTGGTCATGAAAATGGCTACACTAATGAAATCAATTGACTATTCTAGGAAAACATGTGCATGGGGGAGGGGAAATATAGCCTATCAAATTTCAAATCCAACCAAACAGAGGTGCTGTGTCTTAAGAGCAACAAAAATCTAACTATTCTCAATGTAGCACAGCCTTAGTTATAATTGAGTAGATGAGACATTTTCCTCTTTAATCACTTTTCCAAAAGATCAAATTATGTCATCAGAAATTAAAATGGATAAAATAATTTCTTACTATGAGCTAGGCATTATGCTAAGAATACTTTAAATTCATTATTGGATCTGTTCTCTCTTAAACCCCACAAAGCAGGAATTATCCTCATAATCAAACTTGGTTTTAATTTGCTTACAGAGTCAATTTCATCTTTTAAGTATGTTTCCCTTCAGTAATGTTCATACTATCTCCAAGGACCCACTATTGTTCCCTTATCTCCATTTATTAAAATCTTGTTTCTGTTGCTCCAGATATGAAAGTGTGTCAAAAGTTAGTGGAAAAATCCCACTATCTTTTAATTCCACATCTCCATGAGTTTGGAAGCCCCTTCTTACCTATTCCATCAGTGTCTACTCCTGATCCTCAGGTCTTTCTCATCTTTAGAAGGCGCAGGCACTGAGGCAGCACCTTCGTCACCCCACATTATGATCATTCCCTTGTGGGGACTGCATAGCCATGATTGCGGCGTTGGTGGCATTTACTCACCAGGGCGTGGTTAAAAGTCTAGCTCACTCTTAGACTAGGAGGAACTCTTTCCAGGTAAAGAAAGGCTGTTTTATTCAGATTGGTATACTGAGGATCTCTGGTGGCACAGTGGGCTAAGCACTGGACTGCTAACTAAAAGGCTGACAGTTTGAACCCACTAGTTGTTCTGCAGGAGGAGGATGAGGCAGTCTGCTCCCGTAAGGATTTACAGCCCTGGGAACCCTACAGGAACATCTACTCCATGCTACCAGGTCACTGGGGGGCTCAGTCAGGAGAATGGTGATGGTATTGTATTCAGAAAGACTTGGGTTTATTCCGGCTCTGAGACTTTGGGCAAATTACTTAATCTCTTTGCGCCTCATGGTCCTTATCTGTAATGCCTACTGCGGAGCTGCAATGAGAGGATATGTTAGTCCTTACCACGTGTGACGGGCATGCACTGCTAAATGCTCAATGGTTTGTAGCTTAGTTCTTACTGGTCCTACAGATTAGGTGACGTGAAAAATCATTTGGTACACAGGAGTATAAAAGTTTATTTAAGAGTGGGATCCCTTTGAGAAAAAGCATGCCGTAATTCCCTCCTTTAGGAGTGGGGTACTGTCTCCACAGCACAAGTCAAAGGGCCTGGCTCTTTTCTCTGATCTGTTTCTCAGAAGAAATGGAGTTCCAATTCTAAAGGAACATTAACTTAAAAGCTTAGACTTTAAGACGTAGAAATTCCTTGCTGACTTCTAAGTCAACACCAACTGTTAACTTGGTATCATTGAAAAAACTTTTAGTAAGTCTTCAATGTCACAAAGGCTAACTTTAGGGCATTAGCTGTAGAAAATGAACTAAAGAGTCCAAAGATGTGCCCTTTCTTTATGCCTAGCCTCTTGGGGTAGGGTAGAGACTATGTAAGCCTCTGATTTCTCTATTGACATTCTGAGCTAGATAATTCTTTGTTGGTTGGGAGGAGAATGGGTAGAAACAGATCGTCATGTGCATTGTAGTTTATTAACACGATCTCTGGCCTCTACCCAGCTAGATGGGTAGAGATGAAAAACCACATCCTTCTCAAGTTGTAATACCCCCAAATGGTCTCAGATAATCGCTTAGAAGACCACCAAACCCACTGTCATTGGGTTGATTCCTATACATACGAACTCTTCAGAGGGTTTCTGAGACTGTAGGTCTTTACAGAAGCAGACAGCCTCATCTTTCTCCTGGGCAGCAGCCAGTGAGTTTGAACGACGCTTGTCCCACAGCTCCACCAGGGCACCTTAGATAATCCCTAAGGTGGGGACAAAACTGCCACTGGTTGAAAACCACTGCCCTAGAGAAGACGTGACACTAGAACCAAGTCTGATGATTGTTGGTATAGGAGAACTGGTGGGATATTATGCACCCTACAGAGACATGAGGCAAAGGAAGTGTTCGACTAGGGCAACAGAAGCTCCTCTAGAATGGGGTGAAGGAAAAGTCTGTACATGCAAAACGAGGAATGCTGACATTTTAGGAAGCAACAAAGGGAACAGAACACAAAGACATTGTCAAATGAAAATTGTCGAACAGGGAAATGAATGGATTAGGCCAGTTCCTGGGAAGCTGAAGATGCCAACTGACAGTGAGCAGTGTAATAAAATGGCTAGTTTCAATGAGAACTGGTAAGTAGGACAACAAAGCACCGACCTTGAAAGGCAGGAGACTGTGGTGCCGCCATTGTCACTGGCTTGGTCATTGGAGCGGATGAGAAGGGATCCTCAGAGGGCATGCTGAAGGCATTGGTGATCTGCGAACACAGGGAGCTGATGCTCTCTGCTTCCCCTTCTAACTCTGGCACTGCAAGGCAAACACACAAAGGTTCCAGACAGAAAAACTGACCACTCCCAAGTATATAACTATAGGACACAAGGTGATATTTCATACTGAAATCTCTTATTTGTAGAAGAAAATGTATCAATTGTCAGGCGGAGCTACAAAAGCAGTTTTAGAAACTTTACTGACCATAATTTCACTGGCTTTTTAGATAGGAAAGTCTACAAAACTGTCAACAATTCATGCATTAAGGTATATCCTCCTCGCTTGTAACCCCCCAATTTCTTCTCCTCTGTGACACTCTTTATGCCAAGATGTTCAGCTAACTAGAGCTCTAGATTGAGAAGACAGCTGTAACCTGTGTGACCCTGAGTTAAGTTCTGGAGCCAACTAGTGATTCTATCAGAAAACGGGCTGGGACACCAGTGGGTGTTCAGAGCCTTTCTCTGCTGGCACTGAGCTGCCATCACTCTGTGTTTGCCAAGGTCTCTAATCTAGTACCAAGCCTGTGAGCTGTGATACCGTGATAGAGTGAACTGCTCTCTGGGACTCTCGAGACTGTTCTTAATACCAACTCAGGGATAATTCGGTGTCACTGAGGAAGCTAATTATGCATGCTGAACCTTTGTTTGCTCATCTGTAAAAAGAGATTAGCAGTGTTTGCTTCCCAACTGCCCCAAAGGGAGACTGAAAATGAGGTACTTGAAACGTCTGGAATTTCAGTTTTTATAGACGCTGAATGCTGGGAAGACCCCCTTAATTGTCTAGTCCTAAAGCCTGTTCTTTAGGCCTAGTTTCATTTGTTAAAAGAACTGTGCTCTGTTCCTGATGTCACCACCACTGAGCGTGTTCTCTTGAAACAGTGCTTCCTCGTATTCCATAATGGCAGCCACTCAACCTGTCTCAGAGGGAAGTAAAATAGAGCCCAATCAAAGCACTGACCAGATCTGACATTATAACTACGGATCTTATGATGAGGAGAGAGCTGCTGGGGCTGGCTCAGCTGCACAGAGGCCACATAAAGGCCGCTGTGGCAGTTCTGAAAGGTAATGAATACGTGTGAGCAAGCCCACTCACTGTATCTGATGAACAACGGAGCCTAGATTCACACAGAAGTTCCGTTTAGAGTTTCCTCACTATGGAGCCAGCCAGTCACAAGGACAATGGGCACGTATCCATTTCTTTGGATACATCTGACAGCAATGCTATTTAACTGTATGTGTTTCCAAAGTCTCCAGTGAATTCCCAGCTAGGTCCCAAGTGGAAGAATAAGAATGGAAACTTGAGACTCTTGATGTTTAGAAGCAGGTTGACGAAGAGGTAGTACACAAACTACAAACATTGAAGCTCAGGCTAGAAATATCCCTCACAGATCTGTCATCTATTTGTTGAAGAAAAAGATTCACATCACCTTCCACAGAGTTTAGTTTTCTCTTACTGGGAAATGACATAAAATACAACCACCACCCAGCCTTAGGGGAGAGGCGTGGATAGTCTGACAGAAACGCTAAGGCTTCATTGCCAGAGCACCCGTGAGTGGGGCGGTGGCTGCATTACCTGCATTTTTGATGGGGAAATCAGTCTTCCTCTGCATAGTGGAAGGCAACTCATTGATCCGCAGGGAAAGTTGGCGTTTAAAGGGTGACATCTTCTGGCTAAGGGCAGGAAATCCTCGGAAAGAACCCTGGCGGGCAAGTTGTTCAATCGGTGCATGCCGGCGCGGGATGGCATGGGGGTTGTTCATCTCCAGAGAGGCCGTGGCATCCGAAGTGGGAGAGGTGGGAGAAGACGGTGATGGGGCACTGTTGCCTGGGGCCACTGAAGAGCCAACAGCTGCCTTATCTGCTTCAGCTCAAGAAAAACAAGAGAACGAGGATCTTTTTTGTAATATCTTCAAATGATTTCTTCATAAAATGAGTTTATAAAGCTGAGGAACAAAACCTCTCCTATGTTGATCCCTCTCCTTTTTCCAGGGCCGTTAAGAAATAAGTTAGAGGTCCTCCCAAGTAGTTAAAAAATACACCCAACTCAACTTCAGACAACAGACTGACTGAGTGCTTGTATAGGCATTTCTGCTATGATCTTATGTGTTCCCTAAAAACTCACTCTGGCTAAGTCATACACAAAAAGCTGCAGCCATGGGAAAAGAGGTGCCTCTCAAACTCTACAATCTCATCAAAGCACGAGCACCATTAAATCTATACCTGCATTTGCACCCCACATTACAGGCGGTGGATACTTTCAGCCCTAACCCCTGAGATGTCTTCATTCAGAACAATAGAAATAAGATGCCTCACAGCACTCAGAAGCATCTGACAATGGAGGCAGGTTGTGCGTAGCTACTACCAACCTTGGTTTTAAACACAGAGGAAAATACCTTTGTAGCTTCTTTAACTACACTCTCAGCTTCCCCAGAAAGCTTCACATAACATAAAGCAGAAACATTTTGGAAACTACTAGGCACTCTGAAGGAAGACACTTTGATAGGGCTGCCACCTTTGTTCTTAAGGGCTTCAACATTGCTAAGGCTTTCTTCTCTTTGTGAGAAAGCGTGCTCCTGACACCTTCAAAATAGTAAGCTGTGGGCGGGGAAATGGGTATTGAAGCCACAGTAGAGCAGTACCTTTCTTGGCATCCTGGATTTGCTTCATGATTTCCTCTCTTTCTGCCTGTTCAGTGGCTGTTGTGACACGGAATGACCCTTCTCTTGTAAAGGTGGTCCGGCTAGCATCAAAAGTAGCAGTCACGCCACATTCCTTCTCCCGCTTCTGCTTCCGTTCTAAGCAGGCTGCAAAAGCACAGCCTACCGCATGGCTCAACCTTTCACCCTGGGTAGAGCAGAAGGTGGTTTCAAAATGGTTTTAGAATGACTGTACCAACCTTTATGAGTTAGCTTGGGGGAAAAAAAAATAATCTGTTTTTACACAAGACAAAAGAAAATGTTAGGAGTTCTAGTTCAATATTCGATTTGAATACATTAAATTTGAGTGTATGCCAAATTAATGAAAATGAATAGAGTACCATAGGTCACGCTGATGACGCCATACAAACTGCACGGGTCCCGTGCATAGTGATCATCAGTGATCTGTGCTTTTGAGAGCAGCCACTGACCTCCTCTCCACGCAGGCTCCCTTGTCACTTTACCTTGGGCTACAGCCCTCAGTCTTGATCTGCAAGTCCTCAAACCTAGCATTACTAAGAAACCACTGAAAAGTCAGCGCAAATTTACAAGTTTAAGCGTACCATCCAAATAGAAAGTGTAACGTATGTCTAGAAGTAAGAAGTACACACTTAGAACTTTTGATCGGTAAGTCCACCTCCAGTTCTGAGAAGCTTGCCTGCATGCTCTTCCTCCTGAAAGCCCTCTGTGTCTGAGGCCTGAGGTGTCCCTGACACCTGCCTTTCCCTATCCTCTTCTAGCTCTCAACTCTACCTCCCAACCACACACAGCAAATGTTTTATTCATATCCTCGACTTATAAAGCAATTAAATAGATAAATGGATTTTTTTATGTGTAGTAAACACTACTATATAGATATGCTAGATTATCTCAGAGTAAATTAATAAATTCATTGCACGATTTTTACTATGCTTATTTGCATTTTAAACCATAGTCCCTAACTGTAGAACAAGAAAGTTAAAGACAGTACAATAGCTGTTGGTATTGGCAGTACTACAAAGAGATATCTGGGAGCAGAGAGCCCTCTTTGTGGTTCCCGTATCAGTCACTCCTCCATGAACAAATAATTTCATGGAATTTCCCAGCATCAGTTATAATGTGAGGTAGTCTTAAACATTTTACATTACTGCAAACCTTTTGACTGCTTATTTAAAGACTGACAGACTTACTCTTTATGAATCCCAATGTATTTCCATCTAACTTCCTAGTAGGAAAATACCAGGCTAGGTGTGAAAGCACGAAGCGGGATGAGCGAGTATTGAAAGAGCCTTAGATTCTTAGAGCATTGGAACATAGCTCAATCCAACGGAAAGGCGCTCGTTATTTTTCCTAGGCCCAGGAAAGTGATTCTCAAAGTGATTTCCCAACTAGCACCAACAGATCACCTGGGAACTTCCTAGAAATGCAAATTCTCCAGTGCCTCCTCAGACCCACTGAATCAAAAACTCTGGGGGTGGGACCCAGCAATTAGGGCTTTAACAAGTGTTCCAGGTGGTTCTGATCTGTGAGATGTACTGGCCGAGGGGATTCAAACACTTGAAGAGCCATGATTTGACAAGGAAAGGGTTTTTTAACTAGCAAAGGGACAGTCTTGAAAGCTTGAATTTGCTTTGGACTTAAAGTGGACTACATTACCATCTTTGGTGGGCTTTCTTAGGGTGGGAAACAAAAGTAGCATCCAGTCTCTAAGCCCCTGTGTCAAATCAAGTAGAAAAGTTTAACAATAGAAGCTGCGGTTTCTGGGGCAGTCATCATGGACCAGACTCAAGGCTCGGCATGTTTATGTTCATCATCTAATTGAGTTTTCACATCAGTTACCTCCACTAAGTGGGCACTGAGAGCAAGAGCCGGCTGAGAACCAGATTGGACTCCAAGGCCTCTCTGTACCACCAGCTCACAAAACTTCCAGAAAAACTTCTGGTTAAGCTCTGGCAACAGCTTTATTGAGTGTACTTTTCATGAATGACTACACTGCCTTGTTGTTTGGACTTGTAAAAACCCAGAAATTACCTGCAAGATCATAACAGAAGACACTTGTCTTGCGCATCAGAATTTTGGTAATTTACGTGATGGATGAAATTATTCTTGATTTTTACGCAAAAATTAAGTTTACCATGCAACAATTTCTAGCATAGTCCAATTTATTGTACTTTAGCATTTTATTTTCTAATTTAAAAATACTCCAACTCAATTATTTTGTTTGTAGTAAAATCTCTTAGTTCTGAATACAGTTTCAATAAAGAGTGCTTTTAAAAACAGTTCAATAACTAGTGCACTTAAACTTTTTCTTAAAGTCACAATTTCACCTTGAATCACAGCCAATCATCTTACTCTGAATCACAGAATCACACAGAGAGTGACTAGTTTAGCCACTTTCCAGAGCAGCTGCAGCAGCATACACTGGCTTAAAATCTAGTGGAAACTGCTTGGCTGAGCCAACTCACCGTGTCCTTGACAGCCATGAAGCAATGACAGATCCAGCGCCGAGTGGTGCCATCACGGCATATATAAGAGAAAGCTCTATCAAAGTTCCTATCGGGGGCACAGAAAGAAACCTTTTCTATTGTCTGGTCAACTATGAGGTCCTAGAAAAAGGAAAGCACAAAAGAGAGATGACTGATGAGGTTACTCAAGCCTATAACCACACAGGCTGCTCCTCCACAATACAGAATGCCTGAGCTCTGGAGACCAGCCACTGGCACACTGAGACTGTGACCTGGGAAGGACTCAGATATTTCTTTCACTTCATCAACGATTCTAAAATATTTGTTCGTTGATTCTGGTTTTAGAAGAGCTCGTTTTTATGATAAATTTCATATTTCAACTTAACAATATGTATATATCAATATATGTAACCCAATTTCCACATAACTCACATTTAATGACATCATTCCCAGGCATGTTCTATAGATTTATTAAATTTTATTTTGAGGCTGGCTTTCTTTTTATATACTTGCTGAATGGCACAGTTTACACAAAATGTTTTTTAAATCTTGAGGTACTATGGCTCTTTATGTAAATTTTCCATGCTGAGGTAAGGGTAAAATGCTAAATCAAACCAAATGGATTCTATAAAGTGTTACTTAAAGAGTTACCGTCCTCAAGAGTGGCTTCAGAGTTGGAACTGACTCAACTCAAGGACATCTTAGTCCTCAAACTGACATTTTTGCTCTTGAATACTTTAAAGAGGTCTTGTGTAACATATTTCACTAATGCAGCATGTCGTTTGATTTCTTGACTGCTGCTTCCAAGAGTGTTGATGGCTGCTCCGAGCCAAAAAAAAAAAAACAACAAAAAAATTGTCTTTGACAATTTGAACCTTTTCTCCATTTATCTTGATGTTATTTATTGGTCCAGTGGTGAGGATTTTTGTTTTGTGTACATTCAGATGCAACCCATACTGAAGGCTGTAAACTTAGATATTCATCAGTAAGTATTTTAAGCCCTTTTCATTTTCAGCAAGCAAGGTTGTATCATCTGCATACTGCAGGTTTTTAATGAGTCTTTCTCCAATTCTGATGCCACATTTTTCTTGATATAACTCAGCTCCACAAACTATTTGCTCAGCATACAGACTGAGTAAGTATGGTGAAAGACTACAACCCTGGTGCACAACTTTCTAATTTTAAAATGTTCAGTGTTTCCTTGTTCTGTTCAAACATCTACCTGTTAGTCTATGTACAGGTTCTGCATGAGCACAATTAAGTGTTCTGGAATACTCATTCTCTGCAATGTTGTCCATAGCCTATCTGTTAAGTCTGTCATACTGTGGTGGCTTGTGGGTTACTGTGATTCTGGAAGCGATGCCACTAGGACTTTAAATACCATCAGGGTCACCCATGGTGAACAGGTTTCAGATGAGTTTCCAGACTAAGACAGACTAGGAAGGAGAAGAGATGGACTACTTCCCAATACTAAGTCACTGAAAACCTATGAATAGCTGTGGAACACTGTAAGATAGCACCAAAATATTGAGTATTGAAACATGATGAAGAGCACCAGAATATATATATATGGCTTCCAGGCCCTCAGGGTGGAAGGCACTCAAAATACGACTGGGGAAGAGGTGCCTCTTCAAAGTAGAGTTGACTGTGATGATGTACAGCAAGAGACAGGATTCTCAAATATTGGCTTCTGTTCAGTGGTAAATTTGTGCATGGCCTCTTAACAATGATCTTAATTTATTTTGTTAGTTCCTGCCTTTAGTTAAATATAAAGATGGGAATATAGATTCAAGGAGGACAAGCCACCAATTACCATCATCATTCAAAGTAGAGCTACACTAAAGAATGCCTATGCTGTAAGTAGCCACCAGGGGGCAACATCACCTGCCAATCTGTTGTTAAAGTACTTCTGTCCAGACTCTGTAGAGGTTTCTGTGGCATAAGACCTTTTTAAAGTGTTGAAGAGTAAAGATGTCAGCTTGAGGACTTAGGTGTGCCTGACCCAAGCCATTGTATTTTCAATAACCTCATATGCATGTGAAAGCTGGACAGTGAATAAGAAAGACGGTAGAGGAATTGATGCTTTTGAGTTATGGTGTTGGAGGAGAATATTGAAAGTCCCATGGTCTGTCATAAGAACCAGTAGATCCATTTTGGAAGAAGTGCAGCCAGAGTGCTCCTTGGAGGCCAAGATGGCCAAACTTTGTCTCTCATACTATTGTCAGGAGGGAACCAGTCGCTGGAGAAGGACATCATGTTTGGTAAGGTGGAGGGTCAGAGAAAAAGAGGAAGACC